GATATAATGGAAATGGACTTATTCATCTCCCTCAGATTCGCGTACGAAGCAGCAAATTTTTTTGGCGACAATTAAGTTAGTGAATACAAATTCAAATTTGGTTTCGATTGCAATCTAGTCTCAGCGTTATTATTGATCAATTAAATCCAATCAGAGACAAGATAGAGATGCGATCAAAATATGTGGTTTGAATATTTTAAAATTTAATTTCTACACATTTTTTGTACCTTTTTTTGGGCCTTTTTGTTCTTTGTAGATAATAAGTTAAGATTTATAATTGATTATTTTCGGTTTTATTTTAGATAATAGTTTTGACTACAAAACTGGTTAGAGATCTATTTTTCTTCTTTGAGTTATTTTGTTGTTTCTACATTTTGGTAACGGTGAGATGGTGGTGGCGAGTCAGGTGGCGACGGCGACTATGAGGATGGTGGTGGTAGTGGCGAGTCAAGTTGCGAGACATTTTGCTAATTATTGGTGTTGCTGTGATGTTTGTGCGGTGATGTGTCGTGGGGGTGGTGTTACAGGTTGTGACGGCGGTCTTATAGGTGGTGGTGGATCTGGTTATGGTGGTGAGGTGTTGGTTTTGATTTTTATTGTTGGAGTGGCGTTGGTGGTTTCCATATTTTGGTGGTGTTGGGGGTTTTGGTTGATTTTAGTTGTGACTGTTTGTGACCGATTGTGACGGGTGAATTGTGACTCGTTGTGACCGATTGTGCCCTTTTGTAACCGATTGTGACTTGTGAATTGTGACTCGTGGTGACTAATTGTGACAAAAAAATTCTGGAAAAATTTGGAAGTTGGTTGCCGGAACGGGCGTCGGNTTTGAAATAATTAGACAAATTTGTTAGTTTTGAAAAGTAATTCTTATATGTAGGTTTTATGTATTGTTCCCTATAATTAAACATTGGATTGGACCTAGTTAATTTAAAAGATGAGGCCCAACTAAAATAAATTATACTTTTAGCCCAACCCAGGCAAAAGGCCCAATTACTAAAAAAGGAAGTTTCAGCCCAACATAGGCAAAAGGCCCAAATACAAAAAAAAAAAAAATTAAAGGCTTTTAGCCCATTGAGCCCAACCCAGGCAAAAGCCCAATTGCAAAAACAAAAAAACAAAAAATGAGAAGGAAGAGGAAAAGTTACCAACGGTGACACTACCCTTCTACGCACCTGTCTCCTTCCACCAATGGCACGACACTTTCCGAAGGAGCCCAGCACCCGCAGCTGAGCCCCCTCGCAGAGTGCTGGGTCCGTCACTAGTGATCATTTTATGTTGTCCATAAAAGCTTCTTCAAATAGTTTACTAATTAAAACATTCCATTGGCAAAATAAGAACCTTTTTTATTTTTTTTTTATTTTCACTTTGTTTCAATGGTAACCAATGGGTATTTTTTGCCTTCCCGTTCAGACATTTTGCAACATTAAACCTCACAAGATTTGTCTCTTTATCGCAGGATAATGTTATCATAGTCAACGACTACCAATAATCATCATATATGACATTATATTATTTGAAGCATTAATGAATGACAAGCTAATACCTAAAATAACAAATTATCACATAAAATGACTACGAGCATTACTCATAATTGCAACTTGTACCAAATGAAGGTAAAGGAAGATTGGACCGAAGGTTAGGATAAGTGAATTAAAAGGTGAACTGCCAAGAATTACTCAAGTTACATGAAATTATGGCAACTTAAAGTCAAAAACCACTTCTAAAATTAAATATTATTTTTGAACATATTTTAATAATTTTTTAAAAGTGTTTTATATGACTAGAAGAACATTTTAGAAAACGTTATCGAAAGAAAACTTCTTCAAGAATCTTTTCTACGAGAAATAATAGTAGAAACAACAGTAGAATCCTCACCAAATGAACCCTTCATATATAAGCTATAAAATCCAGGACACAATAAAGGACCAAGAGCTTACAAATTGCATAAATCACTTCAATACTTACAACCTTTTTTACCAAGGCGAAGAGGGGGAAACATTGGAAGAAAAGTCTATATTGAAAATGAGAACAATTAACTCTATAAGATAATTTGATGTGTTTTTGTCTTCGTCTTCTCAAGAGCTCGTGCCCACTATATAATGTTGAATCTGAACTAATCAGGCTCTAAATCCACATCACCCCAAATCTCGAACTTTGTGGGTGGAGATTTACATTAATCAAAATCATGCTGCACCACGAATAACTAAAACCTACAACTAAATTTGAAGAACTAAAAAACTGAAACATGAAAGCTTATTCTCTGAATTGAACTATATATATGTTACAAAATCCTCTTTGAAAGGATTATGAACCTACCTCCTAACTCAGAGTGCGATGCGGGCTTGAACGATTAATCAACCTTCATGAACAGACCTACAATTTCGTACTGCAAGAGAGGTACCTAACACCGGTGTACTGTTTCAATTTAGCAACAGCTTCTTGTGCCTTCCCGAGCTTAAGATCCAGATAAATTGCAGTAAGAATAGCCTGTTTACAATTAGGTATTACGGATAATGCTTTTACCACAAATTGGTGGGCCCTTTCAATGTCTCCTAACAATGCATAGTTGGCAGCATAGTTTGAGTAAAGAATTCCCTGAGCCTCTATGGGTGTGGAGAAAAATAGTAATTGCGATTCATCCAGTGACGAGGCACCATTTGACTCGTCACAATCTATCACTTTTTCTGCTCTCCACTTTTCGCAATCCTCTTGGCTGTATGGAAGTTCCACAGAGTCATTACCAGACAAATACATGATCAAATGCTCAGCAGCCTCCTTAGGCTGGTTAAGTAGGCATAAAGCCTCGGCCACATACATTCTTCCAAGAAAGGTGTATATTCTTGAGCAATGGGGCAGTATTAATAGAGAACTTGCTATCGTAAAGGCCTTCAGGGGATTTCCCATCGCCAGCTCCACATATGCCAAATCAGCTAATACTGCTTGCTTTATCATATGGTTCTCCTTTGCACAAATATCTTCATTGTCAGAAGCAAATTTCTGTAACAGTGTATTCTGACTGCTTCCACCTTTTTGCTCTTTCATTTCACCATTTGCCTCAACCTGACTAGATCCAGATGCTACATCAGATGTCTTGGGATCACCACTAGATATGTTTGTGTGATTTGTGCTAGGAGAAAATGGTGTTTCTCTTGAGTCATTCTCCTCAAAACTCGGATACAAACTAGGGCTAGTAAAATTTGCCTTGGAAGATTCCAGTAAATGCAACGCATTGACAAGACACTGTCGGGCAAGAGACGTTGAGAGATCAGGCTGTTTGCTGTCAACAGAAAACAAATCTTCCTTTCGAACAAATTCCTGCTCATCATTGGTCGAGATTCCATTTTTTACTGCAAGTTGTCTCCATTTTCCCTTTCCAATAACATTAACCATGATATCAGATCTGTCAGACGCAGAGGGATTGGATTGGATTAGTCCCTTCTCTAGTGCCATTATACAACACTCCGCAATTCGTAGCCATAAAACAGGTCTATTGTTAAAAATTAGACTGGCCATCTTGAAGCATCGAGCAGCTTGGAAAGGTTTCCCACAAGTCAACTGATGCACACCACAATTATAAGTTATATAAAGGGATTTATCCTGAGAAAAAGACATGAGATTCAGAGGTTTTTCCTTCCGTATGCGTGAGCTGCTATTTAGGGCCTTGGAAAAGAATACACCTGAAGTGTGATGCTTCCCAAGTTGGTAATATATGCAACCGATATTGTTGTAGTACATGCTAGAAATTCCTGTTTCCGTGCGGCTACTAGATGCCATCAAAAGCTTGATTGCTTTGCTATGGTTCCATCGAGCAAATTCGAGCTGTGACTTCAAATAGAGAGCCGTGGTATAATCTTTGCCACGAGCTATGTTCATAGCCATCTTAACTTCACGCTTGGCTGCCTTAAGGTTCCTGATGAGCAGCAAAAATCGAACCTTGTAAAAATGCAGCTTAAGCCTTAGATCAATGGCTGATAGGGGCTCCTCAGCTTGTGTCCTGAGAAGATCATTAGAAAATGGGAGGCCAGGCCTTCGAAAGTTCTGTCCACCGATATCAAGAGAAGATAATAACTGCAGCGATTCTTCTTCAAGTGCTTCGTCTGATCCTGTTCTAGATAAAGAGTTTTCTAAGATAATTGCAGAAGCAACAGAGTCAGAAGTAGAAGAATCAGGTATCGTCAAATTGCTGGTAAGTGAAACCGATTTGGATACTAGTGTAGGTTGCTGCTGTGTTGGGATTCCATTGTCTGCTTGGTTCATCAAGCTATTGATGCCAAAAGCCTTCTCCATATAGCTTATCACATCCTGGACATTATAAATTTTAATTCACTAGTGTCTAAGCAACATAAGAATAATAAGAATTATCTTATAAACAAAGAAGCAAAATCTATAACTGGATATAACATAGTACCATAACATACTAACACTTGTGTAACTTAACAGCAGGAAAAAACCACGAAACAAGAATTAGAAATGCAACACATTAGCTAAGGTTAATAACACGTCCTCTTAATTTGTATCGAACTTATCTAAAACAAAAATGTCCTCAGAGATAACAGCTGAGAACTCATATGCCAGTTGAAAAACATAAAAGAGAGCACATAATATTTTGAACTCAAGACACTAAAGCGAACGGTCTAAAACTAACCACTTCTATATTTGTCATCTGCCGAAAATGGAGATCCACTCATTCGCTGAACCTAAAAATAATAGCTAGCCTAGCTTGCCATGTAAAAGCCTTATTAGCCAAGGAGTGCAAATAATTGGCTCAGATCTTATGGCATTACCCAAAAGTATAGGTAAATTAGTTCTGTCTCTAGTTCAACAGGTCTGATGAAACAAAATCTAAAAGCAGCAAAAACCTTCAACTTGCATAGTCGTATACAGGCAAGTGCATCATTACAAAGAAATCCTCCATCCTCCAGAGAATAGACACGAACGAGGGAAGATGGGCTAGGGGAGCAGATTTTCAAGCAACAATTAGACGACTGTTGTCCCCCAAGTCACCACTAGTATTTTTGGACATCATTCCAAACTGACCATGTTTAAGCTAGTAGGGTCAGTGGACAATACCAGACTTTCAAAATCAACTACTTAATTCGTAATATAATTGCAGTCTGAGTTGTAACAATTGTTGACCCTACTCAAGTGTTTGAAGGAATGTTTCAGTCAGCTGCAAATATAGAAATATGATTTGGAACCGAATTTTTCTGGACGAATAAAGTATAACAGATAATAAACACTACAAGTCACAGAATATAAATTTGTGAAGAACTATTTGGCTCTGTTTCAAAAGACACTGAGGATGTCATGAAAAATAAAACCAATCAAAATAAAAACTTCCGATTCTTTGCAAGCCAGAGAAGGCTATTTGGTCACGTAACAAAGAACTGAGGTCGATAATATTGAATAATCAAGCATGTTTCTCCAGATATATATCAAGTGACAGATATTTGAAAAAGCGCATTCCTTGTAATCTTTAAGTCCTATAAACTGAATAAGAAAAATGCTCTCTAAGGTATTTGGGAAGATCGAAGGTTACCAAAAATTTCAACATAGATGTTAAAAGTACATCGCGCTGCAGCACAAAGTGCCATGAAGTATTGCACAGGGACTAGTTTAGAGTCAAGACACAAATTGGTGAAGTGGAAGAAAAGCATATAAAGGCATAAAGCACCAAAAAGTAATGCGAAATCATTTCTTCTGAATCACTTGATATTTTTCTCAAATCACTGATGAGATTTAATTGATGATCACAGAAATATATTGGTAACTGTTGCAGCTTCTGAGTTTGCTGAATCAATTAGGCATGTATGGCAGTTTAATTGCTTCCATGAAGAGCATGGAATGATTTCTGCTTCACAAAGATGATCCCAGAAGCCCAGTCCCCATCGATCTTTGTGCATTCAGTATCTATGTGAAAATCTATATCATGGCTCCTTGCCGATAATGCAGTGCACGACAAGTGTTCATGAATATCACTTTGTGTTGCATGCACATCAGACAAACACCAAAGGAAAGAATATATATCAAGCCTTCACATTAAAAAAAAGTTTATACACAAAAATCATAATAACATGTAACGACCCGGCCTCTCTGCTCAAGCCGACCCGGCTTCTGTGCACAAGCCGTTAACTAGTACCAGAATTCAACTTAAATCTCTCATAAGACAAAAATTTTGAGTTCGAATCTTAGTGAACGCGATAGAAAACCATGAGGGGCTAAGTGGACAAATGCCCACCCAAAGCGAACAGTATGTACGATATAACGGCTTGGACATGGAGGCATGGTCATTACAAAAAACGCGCATTTTTTTATTGATCGAACTTCTATGTCCAAGCCGTTGCTAGTACTGTCCTAGGATCCGAATCCTTGACATTTCCTTTCAAAATGACTTATGTTAAATCCTGGTACCGATTAATTTTTTTTTGTAACGATCCGACCTCTATACCAAAACCATTGTATCATACATATTATCCGCTTTGGATGGACATCTACCCCACTTAATCCCTCACAACTTTTCTATCACGTCACCCAAGATTCGAACTCAGAACCTCTGCATAATGAGAAACTTAGATTGAATCCTGATACCAATTGGGCAACTATTCACACATCCCCCACACAATGTGACCTAGGATACTAGTGGTCAACACAAATGGTTACTCAGCTGTCTCACACGGTCTAGATAGCAATGATCTCGAAAGAAAGAAGGATAGCTTAGAAAACACATAGAATAGATCTATATATTACTTGGCTCGACCGAGAATCCTTGTTCTCTACTCGAGTATCACTACAACGCATCAATACAACACTGTAAGTAGGAGGGCTATCTCACTGAGGCTAGAATAGATAGAGCACAGTCATCAACACACATCTAAGGCCACGCTTTAAACCTATTTTCCCGCCTGTGATAGGTCGGGTACGAGGAAGGAAAATAAATAGGAATAAGATGCATTCTAATGACCCAAGAACGCACTTATAAATAACATATTATGGTATGACCCAAGAACGCACTTACGGTTTGAAAGAGATTAGAAGAGAGAATGGAACGAGGATTGTCAGAAGACCTTTGATAAGATTAAAACATACCTGCTCAACCAGCATGTACTTGTCAAACCAGAAACGATCACCCCAATCAAAAATGGTAAGGAGTAGCATCAATAACATTCATTGTATGTACGCCTATCAACGATCTACAGGCATCTGTAGCATGTTGTACCCGAGGGTTATTTGGGTTGTGTTTGTTACACCATGTACAATCATCTTAGCCGAACTCAAATTGTAACCTAGTTACTCGTCCAATTGATACTAGAATTCAACTTAAATCTCTCGGTAAATAGAGGTTTTTGGTTCGAATCTAGAGAACACAATAGAAAGTCGTGATGGGGTAAGTGGACAGATGCTCACACAATGCGGACAGTACGTATGATATAACAGTTTGGGCATAAAAATCGAGTCGTTACCAAAAAACGCGCATTTTTTTTTTGTAACATCTAGACCTTTGTACCCAACCCGTTAACTTACATACTGAGCGCTCTGAGAGAGTTTGACCCATCTTACCCCTCACGGATTTCTATCGCGTGACCAGGATTCGAATTCTTGACATTTCTCTAAGAATGACTTAAGTTGAATCCTGATACCTAAATATCTCATTAGGCGGATGTTTTGGGTTTGAATCTTGGGGGACACGATAGAAAGTCGTGAGTGATTACGTGGACACGTCCTCCTAAAACAAATAGTACGTATGATATAACGGATTGGACATATAGGCCAGGTGGTCGTTATAAAAAAGGGCTTGAGCACAAGGCCTGGGTCGTTAAATAATATATATTTAGAATTTCACAAGCAACGGATCGTTAGAAAATCCTATATATTGAAGCAACCAATTACTCTGCAATTCAAATTTTGCTACCAAGAAAAGAGGGATACACGGGCCAACTAAAATATGTAAGATTCCAAAAAGTACAAGACAATAATTTAAAAAGTAAATGAAAATGAGAGAGGGAGAGAGAGAATTCATCATACATTAACTGATGTGCAAGCCAAAATTTACAATTTTATATGGTGAAAATCTTCCCTATGATGAGTACTGCAGAAGATGTACTTAAGTTTTATTAGATCAATAATCATAGAATCTCCATGTTTGTTGATTTAGAGATAGTAAATTTTAATTCAAAGAAGCATATCTATAGCTCTAGAGATTCTCTGATAAACAGGACAACATACAAATCAACAAAGACTCAAATTTTTCATCCTCCCTTTTCACTAGAGTACTTCTGATGGAAAAATAGAAATATACCTTGGAGAAAAAAAAAAGTAACTTAAATTTTATTTTGATCAACCCTTAATTATCAATATCAAGTTGTAACCAAAGTAGATCAATGAAACCATTACATGACATGAACACAAAAGAGAAAGTCATCGCTTCTTTATGCTAGTCTTTCCATTTTTGCAGCTCTTTCTTTTTCGGGGTCTATTCCAGATGAGAAATATAGAAAGCCTGTTGACTCTGATGATTGCAGGTCCTCCTTATGATGCTACATATGGCTGTCCGAAGTGCAAGAGGTGAACTCGGACGCGGATAGGATAGGATAGGATTGTTTTAAATAAGATTAGATTCGATACTAATGTGATTAAGATATATCAGAAGTTCCATTTGATTTTAATTCGTCACAACTATAAAACGGGAACAGGAGTTTCAGAATGTAAACAACTTACAAAAATTAATCAAAATTACACTTAGAATGAACTTTCCTCCCAAATTTCTCTCATCTTCTCTCTTATACTATTCTCCTCTCTTTCTCTCTCTCTCTCTCTCTCTCTCTTGCTTTCTCAAATAGTCTTGCCTAGCCCTCCAGGAAAAGGCTGAAACCTCACCATCCTTATGAAAGACCTCCAAGCTAACTCAGTTGATGTTAAAGATACTTTAGCTACCACTAGTGAATTGATGCATATTTTCAGATATCCATGCAACACAAGGAATTAAGAACTCGTCATTAAGACAACATGTTAGGCACTCAACAAATTTTAGAGGTCTTAAGAGGTCCTGAGCAAGTCAATTACTCATACCTCCATTGCCTACTTATCAGCCCATCTGCATAAGCAGCATTCAGGCTGATGACCTCTCTGATGATGATGCCTTTAGAGCACCGATGACCATGCCTCAGAGAAAATAGTTCACAGTTTCCCTAGGCATACCTCTCGACATCAGGAACACCATGGTCAATACCAAGATGACCACATCTACCCTCACCATGTACCCACCATACAAACACATTAGCCACAACATAAAAGGGTGTTGGTGATGTCAACAGGAAAATCAAACTAGAAGCACCATAATTTGATGGTCAACTCGATCCCGAGCTTGATTGGTTTGATGTAATTGTAATTTGAGTTCTACGGCATGAAAAACACCCATGGTGTTCATTTTGCAAGAATAAAGCTCATAGGCTCTGTCTAATGTTATTGAGAATTTGTAATACGACGCACTGAGTGCTTAGATCAGGGCTCTATACCCTGTGGGCCAAAATAAATTAGTGTTGAAAGAGAACTATGTATCCACCTACCGTAAGGATCATTTGTTAGAATGTAGATCGATCCTTCAACTATAGACAGGGTTCTCCTACTATTAGTGAGTACAAGACACGTTTTAAGATATTAATGTTCTGATGATGTTACCATCTCTATTAACAGGTTTCCTTCGTTCCCATTAGGCCAGCATCAACACCCCCTCGAGGTAAGCTCTTTACTAAAAGAGAGTAATAATGTCATATTCGTAAAATTATTGGGGCGTTGCCACCCATGAGAGATACTGCATGCCATTAATTTCGGGATAACGGGTGCCTAACCTTCCCCAGTAGAGAGACCCCAATGGGGAGAGCTAACTTGACGCTAAAAGATCTATTCATCGTAGTCTTAGCTCGTCTTGTGTGTATTTTACTCACTCCAAAGTAGGATGGATCAAGAGGAATGCGCAGACAGTTGAGCCATCAACAAAATCAATGTTTTCTGACTTTCTTTATTTTTAAATTAAATTTGTTTTGGTATGATTAAATAGACTGGTTTTAATGATTTGGTGTAATTACATTTATGTGAAATACCATTTAAGTTACTTACAACAATAAAAAGGGAACTGGGATTCAGTGACGTAGTGTGCTCGTACCAAGAACAGAATTATAGAAGAAAGAAGAGAGGACAATTGGATTGGAATTAGAGAGAAAATATTGTTTATTCAATTCATCAAAAGCCTGTCTAATACAAAAACATAACCCTCTTCGTATAGGATTTAACTTGACCTAATTTAAGTAGGAAGCATAATAAGGAAATAAAACCTAATTTGACTCAAAATATAAAATTACAATAAGGAAATAAAACTAACTCTAAACTTCTTTAATAAAATATCTTTATTATCTCCATCATTCAGTTTGTACCAACTTTAAAAATTAATCAGAATTACATATAAACTAATTATATCATACGAATTCCATTCATTTTTCTCTCTCTTCTTCTATTCTTCTCTCTTTCTATTTCCTACTGTCTTCTGCTTTTGCATCAGACTCCCACATGCCATAATTAATCAGTCATTTGAAAATTGATGTCAAACAATTGAATGTAACAGGCTAGACACAGCCTATCCTCGTGATTTTAGTTCAGAAAATTAAATATATAAAGGAAAAATCATATTGGCATCTTCATTTCCAATAAAAGGCTAGAAAATTTATATGGAGTCTGAACTTACCGCAGATCTTGATGCATGGCCAGAAAGCAATGCAACATCTAGCAACAGAAGGCAAATACGAAGAGCCGTCCCCTGCATGCCACCATATAGAAGATTACCAGCAAAGACAACTTCACGAACCATAATAACTTCACTTGAAATGAATTACCTCATCAATGGGTTCAATGGTCTGATACAAAGCATCCAAATATGAATACGATTTCGCGTAGTCATGAAGATGGAACCAGGTAACTGCCTGAAATCAGATTCAGGCATGCTTGAATAAAATAAATACAACAATATTATAAATCTAACTAAAGCACTACCGAACATCAAGTGAACATACTATGTTAAACATTGCCACTGAAGTGTCAAACTCATCATTGTAAACAATTGGTGAACTAGAAACTCCTTGTGCCATACTATTACTTCTTTTTCTTCCGATTGTGTTTTTGCTTTCGGTGCTGTTAATTGCTTCCGTCTGTACTCCAGAAGCAACAGCAAGCTCCTCGCTTCGTCTCTAAATGAGGACAAAGAATCAATGAAGTATAAGCATGAATAATCAATTTACAAATAGCGTGCTTGTTAGCAATTAATAACATCATTTCAGGACGAATGGTAGGTGAATGTTTCATCCACCCCTCCTGACCCCCCCCCCCCCCCCCCCCCCCCCCCCCCCCNCTCCCCCCCCCCCCCCCCCTCTCTGACCCTACAGACATGCTCACTATGGGTAAAGTAGACACTGATGGTAGTTGGTTGAATCCACAGAAATCTATAAGAGTATTACAAGCATTATTATGCATACGTGGGTGCATAGATTTTTTATATTTTGTATAAGACGAAAAATCATGAGAGAATAAAATGGTGATGCGTAACTCAGAAAGAGAGAGAATTGGGTATTGGACACAGTTAAACGGACTATAGAAGTGAAAAAAAGGGAGCATGTGAATTGTTATGATTATTTTCCAAGTTACACAAATTTTATCAGAAAACATAAAACATTTGTGCATTTATCTGAATTCAGGCCTCCAATCCGACTGCTCAATAGTTGATAGTTGTATGAAGAAATTAAACATATTGAAAGTGCAACTTTCCACCATGTTCTTTTTGTCACTTTATTTTGTATAATTACAATAATTCATAAATACAAGGAAGGTAACATTTTATATTGCCAAAGCTTTCATGAATTAATATGCTACAAAAATCCTTATATATTCTAAAGAGGGGCCGGATGAAAAGTTATGTAGCAAATGACAGAAGCAAAAATAAAAAGGAAAGAACGGAATCTTTCAAAGAAGACAGACATCTTAAAGTCCAGGCAAAGGCATTTCCACGTTCAAAGATCTCCAATCTTATAAGAATCCACATAATGCATCAAGAAACATGCCCCACTAACTTAGCCTCTGTTTGGCAAAATTTAAAAACCATTTATAAATGGTCAAACTTCACTTCCAACCATATATTCCATTGAACCCAAAAGTACCATCCACTTATCCACCTCTTAAATTCTATCTATTTAGAGATTAAGGGTGCCTGTGGTTAGTTGTTTTCAAGCTATTTTCAATTTTTCAAAACACTTGGTTCTGGTATTTCAAAAAATGCATTTTTGAAAATAAGGATAAACTTATAACATAAAACTCATAACGTATTTTTTCCGTTTGGAGTGTTTCCAGTGAAAATTTTGAACACACTCAAAACGTGGAAAATAAGCGTTTAAATAAAATTTATTTAAATAATATTAAAAATATATAAATATTAAATTTTAACAAATAAAATTAAAAAACAACAAAATAAATTATAAAATTATAAATTATAAAAAATTCTGAAAAATTAAAAATTAAATTAGATATTTAAAATAAAAATAGTTCAAGCTTTTAATGATTATTTATATAAAAACTTTAAAAAATTATTTACATGAGTACAGATAAAAATATTCTTAATCTACATCACTAATTTTCATTTTTGTTTCCTATACTTTGAACTAAATTTAATATTTGTTTTTATTTTACTTTCGTAACGAAAAAATATTGTAAGATTTACCAACCTTAAAATGTGTATATTACACGATAATATATTAACATAAAATTGTTTTATTTTTACTAAGGGCATGTTTGAGCACCATTTTTTCTGTCAAATGTAGTTTGGAATAGTAAATTGATGGAGAATGTGTAGTTAAAAAAAAAGAAAAAAAAAGTTTTAGATTTGAGTGTAATATTACACTGAAGAATGTGTAAATGAAAAGAAAATAGAAAAATATATTTTAGAAAAAATGAGGATCAAACTAGTATTAAAAAACAAATTCATTAAATAAAATGTCATAAAATATTATTTTCAAATTTTCAAACCAAGCGTGTTTTCTAGTTTTCTGTTTTGAGAAATATTTTTCAAAATGAGGCCTGTTTGGTACACATTATTTTTTTCATTCTCATTCTTCTACTCATTTTCATCCACATATTTTTCAATAAAATAATATTTTACATCACATCAATAACTTTTCATTCATCTTTAATCACACATTCTCCATCAATCTACTATTCAATAATACATTCTTTCAAAAGAATGTGTCACAAACACACTCTGAAAAACCAAATGCATTTTTAGCAATCTTAAAATAGACTATGAAAACAAAAAATTAAAAAATGAATTCAACTCAAAACTGAAAAACAAACCAAACGGGACCATAAACAGTTTATAAATTCTTCCCAAATGGAGGCTTAGTAACATGTTGTCATATCCAGTTAAACAAGAGGGCCTCTAATAATTAGACTTCTCCTGACGCAGTGACGCCACAATAAAGAAGTAATGTCCCTTGTAAAAATAATTATAAACATATCCCTAAAGCACCAGAATAATAAACAGTAATGTCGGGGGTTTTACATACAACTTTATAGCATATCATCTTTGTTCTGGTCGTTCTAACAATGTGGAACATAGTCACCTATAACAGCCAGTCCGATGAGATTCCCCAAAAAGTTTAATGTAATAACTTGCTATCACCCAAAATATGTTGAAAATCCCAAACAAGGCTTCCATCTTATCTGCAAAGACATTCCACTGCATTTCAAGGATATTTCTAAAATTGAAGAAGTGCAACATAGCATGTGCCAAAGGCAACTAAACCAGGTGCTCTACTAACAGAGCTGCATGCCTAAAAGTATACCAACCACCTTGATCTACTAGGAAAACACCATTGATTTTCAAGTTAGCATGATCTAACATATTTTCACTCAAGTGAGCGCCTAGCATATTTTTTTCACATAGGAAACTACTTGCTTCCTTTATCCTATCTGCAAACAGAAGTGTCAAAAGGAAGGATGTAGAACGCTCAACATTTTGCACCCCCTCAGAATGTACCAATACTTTCTCTATCAATAGAAAGAAAAACAATGCAGTAGATTTTGCCACTACATATCATTGAAGGAAGATGTAAAATTATCCAAATGCAAATCGGTACATGTGTTGAATAAACAAAAGGTAAGATAAGCAAATATCTTGTAACCTCAAACCTTAACATCTTCAAGAGCTTCGATAAGCCTTTTAGGGTCTGAAAATCCATTTTGAAAGTTTTCTGCAATTGCTATGTTATGAAGAACCTAAAATAAAAACATGATAACAGATTAGCAATAAAAGAAACAACAGAAACAACAAGCTATAAATAAGATGAATAATGGAAATTATACAAAACAAGGAATTGGAAATATAGTATCATCAGCTAAAAAATTATGAGATTAACCATAAACGGACTTTAATGCATGTGCTATGTTAGAACAAGATATGAGAGCTGGGACTACAGCTGTCTTTTTAATTTCTTTTCTTTTAGGGAAGAAAAAGATTGGTCATTCAAACTGATGAAGCGATCCACCACTATGGAGGGACTAAATTTTTTTCTCCTGGAATGTATTTTTTGCAGCAACGTTGATAAATATGCATGTATAACCAACATTAACACAGCCTTGGAAGAAAATCAGAAAAATGTGAAAGTAGGAAAGCAATAAGAAAAAAAAACCACTCAAGCAAAATAATGTTTTAACATGTCAGATATTGACAATTGCAACCAAACTTCTAAACTCGACTTTGTAAAATATTTTTCTATATCAAATGTAATAATTTACCAACAAAAATTAAAGTTAATTAAAATATACATTAAGAGATGGCATAAAGTTTTTTATTATGGAGAAGTATATCTCACGTAATTAATACTCTGAGAACAAAGAAATCTATAACAATAATTCACTGAAAAAAAAATGATGCATGTGCTTCTATAAAAATTCAAATATATAGCTGACAATGAACGCCAGCAAGTTAACAATGAACAAGTATAGAAGAAGAGAGAATTTAGAGGGAGACTTGTAGTTGTATTCAATGATAGAAGAAGTGTCTATTACAATCAAAGAGCCTCTATATATAGAGTCTAAACTAGGGTTAATAAGGAAATCTAGAATTTTCCTCTGTAAAGGAAACAAAATAAATTGCCTTACAAACGCAATAACGGAAAATACTATAAAATCCTAATTGCTTTAATTTCTTCTACTAGGATATACTATCCATGTTGCATCAATAGCCCTACTCTCTAATGAAACACATTGGAAACAATACTAAAGTTAGTGCAGTATAATACAATGTGATCAACAGGGATGATTTCAAAACTCAAAGAAAGAAAAACAGATGCAGATATAGTCAGAAAAATTATCATTCAAAACGTAATGGTTTTTACTGAAAAAACAGTCAATGATGAAGTTCTCAAAAAATATATTTTATAAAACTTAGAAGACGTTCTATGTTTAGGGTACTTAAGTGTATCAAATGACAAAATATCTGGGAGATGAACATAGAGAAAACGAGCATGTTAGGATGCATGTGTGACCATACTAAAATGGATAAGATAAGAAATGAGAACATATTTCAAATCTTCAATACACAGAGGTGGAAACCATAAAAGGATAACATAAGGGAAAGACGATTTAAACAATTGGGGAAGGTCTTGCATAGACCTAAACATGGCCTGAAAAACCATATGCAATTGACGTGGTGCAAAAGTAATATTTCCATCTGGATAATACCTATTTCTTAGACATAATCCAAGAAGAAATGTTATGTCAAGCAAACCAGACAATTTCCAACAATAAACTCTGTAGGTCATCCGTCTCATAGCGGACGAAGTAAAAGAACACACATAAAAGACGTCAGAGACTAACAAAAGAATTTTACACAATCTACAGTAGACTCAAACTCATTTTTTTCAACGCAATCCAATCTCAAACCCACAATGTCAATGAGTGGGTTAGCATCTGACATGCTTTAGATCAGCCAACTTCGACCAGCCTGAACTCATATAACCCGCCTACTCGCTACTCCTATTTGGCATAAACTAACAAATCAATGGCCTGTCTAATGACACATAGCGTGATATATTTTGAATCTTCAAATAATGAACCAAGACGATAATCCAATCATGAAATATTGCCCGCACAATCTGGTAGCCTGTATGTACCAGCTGAAATTAGTTTGCAGGTGACTCATGTGTCTGTCATACATTGACCACTATGTGTTGAAATACAAAAATGAGGCTCAATTAAATGGTCCAAAGAACGAATCCCAGTTAGGAAATTCGAAGGATGACCCCAAGCAAGACCATATAAAGACCCAAGACGAAGTTATACAATGAAGGTCCATCATCGCTTAAGCCTACGAAATGCCCAAACGCTCAAGCCTACGAGGCGCCCAAGATCTGGGCGAGGCTGTCATCGCTCTGGCGTGTGTGACGCCCAAAATCTGGGCGAATATAGAATCTGGGCGAGGCTGTCATCGCTCAAGCTTGTGTGACGCCCAAAATCTGGGCGAATATAGTGTTTTGGTTATTGTTCGAAGCAACGGTTATTAAAGCAGTTAATGGGTGATCTAATCACATTCCATGACCCAAAAATCTCGGCTGCAAGAAGTTAAGAGATGGGAGTAATGGCAGCGGTTAAAAACGGTAGTTTCTTGAAAAATCGTCCATAATGCAGAAAGTGGGTAGTTACAGAGCAACGAGCAGTTTTCAAAAGGTTCTACAAAGGAAAAAACCGTCAAATGAGTATAAAAGAGAGAAGAGAACATAGAAGAAAGAATCCGATCAAACCAACTCTAAAACAGAGAATTATGTAACTTCATTTCTTAGTTAACTTTCAATTATTTTCTTCCATAATTCGTGTGCTTGTGCCCCTTGGAGGCATTTTGTTTCATCCATATTGTAATCTTCATCAATAAAAGAATTCGTGTGCTTGCGCCCCTTGGAGGCATTTTGTTTCGTCCATACTGTAATCTTCATCATTAAAACACCCCTCGTTGAGACTTTGTTGTTGTTCCTTACACAATCGTCTTATCCATCTTTTAATTGTTAGCGATTTCCACGCAAAACACTGTGCTTTAATTACATCCAAATCCAATAATTAGCTCCTCATACTTTACTTTGCAAAATGAAACAAAACGAGAGCTCTATCATGTATTGTGTCAATTACCTCGCTCTATTGATGCCCTAAACAAGAAAGCTAACCCAAACCTTATTTTGCATGGCCCAAAGAACTTGGATCTACATGAAGTGGAAACTTGAAAATAGAAATTTCACAGATCCGACTTTTGCTAACCCAAACAAAACCATTTATTACTTGGAATGCCGTACAAGAACTTCCGTAGAAAAAAGAGTATAAATAACAAATAAGTTTCTCCTAAATCAAATTTCTAAAAATTATATGATCGATGTTCACAACTGAGCAGGAAACATCAGTTGCATGCTAAATTTCCAAGGTGAAAGCATTCAGATCTCCGACCCTTGTGTAGGATGTAACAATTATTCATCATCAACTACCCCTTAATCGCACTATAGGATAGTTCTTATGGTACCAGACTTCTTTCAAACTTTTCTATGAGAAGCCTTACTTAGTCAATCTTCCGTAATTTCAAAATTACCCCCAATCTTAAAGATGATAAATTTCTCATACGCACCAGAAACTTGGACAATTTTAAGTGAGTAAATGTAAGGTAGAATTCTAGCTTTCGACTCATGAGTTTTCCGTGTAACACATCCCAATCAAATTGAGGATCAAATTGATCGAGCAGAGGCTCAATTTTGAGGATCGAGTTGATTGTGTTGAGGATCGAGTAGGAGGTCAAGCTGATCAATTAGGGAATGTTTTGCCTGGATGGCCATTGAAGAATTAAATGGACATTATGTGAATTCTTGAATACAAATTTTTCTTCTTGGCCTTAGAGAAAATGGTCTTTTGGAGAAAATTTACATTCATCATGTACTAAGATTTCACAACGTTTTAAAACTATTGACAAAACCGTGTTGCCACACCTCAAAACACAGGCCTAAACTACATTTCAAGTGTCAACCATTGTCTTACAATTCCAGACAAAGAACCCAGGCACATTGATAGTGAAATATAAGATTAGCTCTTCTACCAAGTACCCATAAAGTCATAAAAAGGCAAACTATGAGGCATAAGAGAAAAATAAGATATGCTGGCTCTAAAATGAAGTACCATACAGTGATCCTGTAGCAACTTTAAGAATGTGATTTCTCCAATTAGAAATACTATTTGTTTATGTCTCAGTCATGCAGCACATTTCAGTTAAACCCAAGTGTAAATCCCTAAGATGCAATAGCAAATAAATCAGCTCCAACCCCCACTGGAACAGAAATAAATATAAAACTCGGACTCCACACCAAAGAATACAAAAGAGATTATTCATAATCCAGAATTTCAGAAATAAACCACCTTTGGATCGTTCTCTTTTAACCGTAAGAGCTCATTCAAGACTTTCACACAGTCCGCAAACTTTCCCGCTTGGAAGCGCAAGGTAGCCTCCTTAGCAAACCCAGAAGTAACTGACATCGCAAAATCGTCTACAGACACCGTCCCCGCAGCAGCTTCAGCATCTCTACTCGCAATTGGCAATGACGAAGATGTTGTTGTATCCATTCGCGCACAGATCGAATTAATCACCCCCTATAACTGCAACAAAATGCACTGAAGTTGAAGAAAAATCCTAGCTTCCCTTAGTTAAACAACCCGCTCCGTTACACAAAAGATTCGCATTCGAATCTGAATTCAAATTAAACCCTAGATGTACAAAATCAAACAGAGTGTATGCAAAATAGAAATGATATATACTCAAATGCTTATGGGTGGATTGCGATGAGTCGATTTAGAGAGAGAAAGAGAGAGCTTTCCCAAATGGGGGAGAAACTGCGCACATAGAGAGAGACAATCTGGAAGAGAGAGAGAGATGAGAAGGGTGAGGCTTTATCGGGCTTTACTTCCCATGGCGAAACAGGTTAGCTATATTGTCAGCGTGTGTGAATTATTTTTGGAAAATTGCAGCGAGAGTATCAAATCTTTCATTTAGCTACAGATTTTACCTAAATCTGTCATTTGTGTCACTCACGATACCAAACCTTTAAAAAATTTGCATTTGGAGTCCGAATGGATAGAAACCGTTAGTTTGACCATTAATTAACTCAAAAAATTGACTTTGACCAATTTTAAAAGGGTTAAAATAGTAATTTTAAATTACAATAAAACAAAAAATCAAAAAGTAATTCAACTCACCTCATCCCTGAAAATCAATTACCGTCATTGTAACCGCCACAGCTACATAACATAGGCACGATCGTCGACAACACCAATGCATATGGTTCTTGTAGAGTTCAAATTCACAATTCAGATGCAGGAAGTCAGTTTTTGTAGCAACCAAAATCCAACTAAAAATGGTGAAAGATTCAGGCCCCGTTCGGTAGGGATTAAATTCCAATTAAAATTGAAAATATGGCCGTTATTGGGTCCCACTCGTCTAATAAAAGTCAACAATAACGACTATTTTTTCAATTTTAATCTGATTTTAATCCCTACCGAACGGGCCCTCAATGAAAAAACTTTAAAATGTGAGAAGAAGACTCCACACCAACAAATTTTATCAAAAAAGAATTTTAAATATAACTAAAGCAAGAAAAGAAATTGTTACCACCGACACCACCCAATGCACGGCACATACATCGCCACCACTCAAGAAACTCATCAAAATTTCCACCACCATTATCAAACCTATCAAGAAACTCCAAAACTCCTCTATCAAAATTCCCACCACCCAATCTCTCATCATCGCCTTGTCCAATTTCCAATTTAATTTTCGAAATCGAACAAAAAGAATGAATGACAATCTTCTAACAATTATTTCGTCCATCACAATTTGCAACTCTTCCCACATCTCAATAGCCCTTCACCTACAAAATTTCAAACTATGCTTTGGTTGACGTTAATAGGATGGATTAGGGGAGCTTTTGGCCAGTGGTGCTGCTGTATTTTAGTGTTTGGTTTTGGGGTGGGGAGAGTGGGGAGATTTTGGGTTTGGTTTTTGATATTTTGTTTTTTGTTTTATTTTAATTCAAAATTAGTATTTTACTTCTCTAAAAATTGGTCAGAGTCAATTAACAGTTAAACTAACGGTTTCCATCCATTCGGACTCCATGTGTAAATTTTTTAAAGGTTTGGTACCGTGAGTGACACAAATGAAAGGTTTGAACAAAATCTGCAATAAATGAAATGTTTGGTACCATGGCTGCAATTTTCCCTTTATTTTTTTGGGAAAAGAAAGTCTTATTTTTAAGCTTTTTTTTTTTTTTTTTACAAAAAATGATGAAATAATTCCTCATAAGTTATACAAAAATTTGGAATATATAATACTTTCATTGAAAAAGATTTTTTATATTTCCTGTTTTGATAGAAGGTAGACTTATACCTTGACAAATTTGTGTTGTAAATGAATTTTAATTTACAAATAGCTTAAATGAGATACGTACAGTGCATGATAAATAATTTCATAGCCTTTCTGTAGACATTACAGTAAGAACGACTCGGACACTAACAAACACTAAACTTTTTAAGCTTAGTCAAACATGCTCTTATATTGTTAAGAGTATGGTTTCTTACATTTCTCTATTTTTTTGTCCATTAACCATTTTTCATCATTCAATTATCGATTTATGTGTATTTTTCACTATGAGAAGCCTTTTTCCTTCTATCTTTCTATTGTATGGAGAAATATTTAGCATATTAAGCCCACTACGGTGAGTCGACTTTAATGACATCAATCTAAACAGTTGTATGTTGTTCACTTCATTATATCTTGATAGATAAGTGTTACCTTGATCATAAATAAATTTGTTCAAATTTACACGTGAATATAAAATATTACAACTTGTGGGCATCAAACTGTTATCTTGTCTCGAAATATTAAGGGTGCGTTTGATTGTAAAGGTGGAAAATGGGTGGAAAGAAAATGTTTTACAGGGAAAAGATTTGCCTAGAAAATGTTTTGCAAGGAAAATGATTTCAAGTGTGTTTGATTGATATAATTTTTCACCCGGAAATTTTTTAAATTTTCTATTCGTTTGGCTTTATTTTACATTGAAAGTGTTTATTAAAGTGATAATTTTTTCCACAATTGGTTATAAAATTTGTTTACATTGCCAAAAATTAAAAAAAAAAAGTGGGAAAAAATTGTTTCCTAAAAAATCTTTTTTTTTATCAAAGTTTAGTATTCGTTTGACTTAGTTTTACATGAAAATTATCCATTAAAGTGAAAAAAAATTTACCATTGGTTAAAAAATGGAAAGTGAAAAATATTTTTCTAATTTCCCGAAAAATTTCGCGTATCAAACAAGACCTAAGATATTGAACATGAAAACTCGATGTAGAAAGAAGAAAGCCAGCTATGACCAACCGATCTCACCTATTGTCGTCAGTTTTTCTTCTAGTTTGACATCGATCCAATATGATCCTAGACCGACAAAGATCCTGTCAGCTGGTATGGCTCTCTTTGGATGATATTTGAGAAGATTGTGATGCTAGAAATAGATCAAGAAAGCTAGAGAGAGGTCATACTGATACCATATTTGGGTAAGGTGATCTTATCTTTCATTTTGAAATTATTTTTTATAAAGAACTTGTCATGTTTAATAGTGTTTAATGACGACTAGCATTACAGCTACTTTATGCTGCGATTAGAATTGAATTCTTCAATTGATGTAAGTGCTTTACAATTCGGGGTGAGTTGTGCTATTGTCCTCCTCCTTTTCCTAGCCTTCATTGAGATTGTAGGGCTCAATTCATCGAGAAGTCATGACATGATTAGTTGATTTGTGGCACTCCAGTAAGCCAATGAGCACTTTGGAATTTTGGATTTTCTACATTGTTGATGTTGTGATTATATTGTGAGTTTTTTTTTCACGAGTGAGGACGCCCTTGTCCATTTAAGCACCTTCCAAGCTTAGCTAAACATGCTAGTGGCACATAACCAAGCCTAGAAAGTAAAACCCTAATCCATTCATCCAACCATTAGGTAAGCTCAATGATCGAGTTGCACAAATCAGGCTCAGTAGACCTAAATTTACCGCTCAATGTACCGAAAAATGATTAGTCAATTATGGGTATGAAGTACCCAATTAGCTTATTAGCAAAATAAAAAGAAAACTATGTTAGTAAACAAGTTTTCATCTTCAATTTTGATTTAAGAAAAAATTAAAAGACAAAGTTGAATAATACCAACCAAACATACAATAATAATGGGATTTTGTTTTGAGGCTACCGTTTTTCCTTAAAATGTCCAGTTTCTGTTCTCTAGAACGAAAGCACATGCTCTTTTTTGCATGACATGAAAGCCCATAATGTCATATGATATGCCCACAAGACCAAACAAGGCTAGGCCCACAATGTAATCCAATTGCTCACAAATAATTTGCTTATTTTTATTAAAAATAATTTGAAACGTATTTATTTTAAAACTCACTCATTGCCTTAAGTAAACTTAGCCACGCGTGTCTCGGAGAAGAAGGTAAGATTTAATGAAAAATAAAAAATTGTAAAAACCGTTTGACATTGTTGACAAGAATAAAATAACGGACAGAAAAGCCATTTTTTATGGACAAAAATCTGCACCAGACACACGCTTAACATTATAAATCTTTTGGTACCATTGGAAGGTGAAAGACTGTAATAATAATTCATATATTGTGAAATTAATACTGAATAATTCCCAAGAAGTTAGATTTGAAAATGAAATTACAAAATTTTAGAATATTTGTTTAGCAGTTTCTTTTAAGTCTATTGTTGTATTAATTATAGGACATTCCTTAAAATAACTTCATTTGGTAAGACATGATAATCCTATTGACTTAACGATGTGCATAAATTTATTCAAGTAGAGAAACAAGATCTTAACGTAGTTTTTGGGTTACGTCGTCCAACAAACATTGAAGGTGGTGATAAAAATTAAAGGGAAAATTATCCAAAAACCTACATATCAAGTATTTAAAAATAAGGGGATTAGTTTTAAATTCATAAATCATGTGCTAATTAAGAATTATTAATGTAATTAATGCAGATTTATTATACCCCACGACAACCAACCACCCCAGTAAAGCTAATTCATTTCCACACCCATTTTAAAACCAAAGCCTTCCTTTATTCCAATCTCAAATCAATTCACTATCGGCCACCCAATTCACCCATCCCTAATCCCCGATCGCATGTATTATTTTCTCGTCACAAAAGTCTATCTCTCTACAAAGCAATCTCTCTCTACAATATAAATTCTCTCTCTACATACATTCTTTGTCTATATATATACAAAAATATATACATATTATATACCCATTTTTTATTGTAGCTTCTTCGTCAATGGTGTTGACGGTGCACGGAAGGTTCATTCCACGCACCATTCTCATGGATCTCAAGATGCGAATGATGGACAATGTCAGATCAAAACTGTATAGGCAGATCCAACCCCTCCACACTTCTTCTGCTTTGGGGTGGTAGCTGGTGGATACATGGGCGAACCTGGGGGTGACCTGGGGGGAACATATTTTAAAGTTTTTTTTAAACTTAAATATAAAAAGAAAAAGAAAAATCTCAAACCTCTCCTC